TATATATATAGTTTAGTTAGCATAGTTCTGTAAGAGATATACATATTCGCCGAATGTATGTATCTAGATATTGTTTTGAGTAGTTAAGGAAAGGTTTCTGGATTCTGCCTTTTTACCTTAGCTGAGCTTTAAAAGTTATATGTATGTGTGTAGTGTGAAATTGCTTAAAAATAAATCTAGATTAACATATCAATTAATTTTTTTCGTAAAATACATATATATCTTTTTGTTTGCTTAAATGTTTAGAAGTATTTGCTGCACTGTTATATATTACTTTTTCCTCTTTTTTTTTACTTTTTCTTAAGTTTGCTAAAATTTAATATTATCTGATTTTGTTTGTTATTGCGTGGGAAGCGTTCGATTTTGGTTCCATTACATTTCGTTTTATTCAATTCATTGATTGATTAATTTTTATAAATTTTTATTTAACACTTCGAGAGCTTGAATGAAAATAAAAACTGAAAATAAAATAATGTGAAAAGCTTCTTTTGAAAATTGATTTAAAATTTCGTTAATTGTTTTTGTTCTTTAAAAACGCGATTTAGTTTGCTCGTAAAATGCGTTAAAAACATTAAAGTAAAATATATACATATATATTTGTATATATATTATGTATGATCTTCATTGAGTAGTTCGAGTACCAATTTTTGTTTAGTTTTTTAATTTGTTGGGGCTGGGTGAGCTCCCCTGAAATAGCCTTAAAAAGTTATTATTTTAAAAGTAGTTGACCTTCTCCATTGTGAAATGTGTTTAGTAAAAGTATATAAATTTGTCGTTATTTAAAAGTCAAGCAATTCTGTTTACATAATCCAAAAATGTTTAGAGTATTTGGCATTTAGTTGATTAGCAGTTAAAAACATTTTATTTTAGTTTTATAAAAGTGTGCTGCCTGCCACAGCACTCATATCGAGTAAGAAATCAATCAAGAGAAACAAGTTCTGAGTTTTTTTTTTCCTTTTTCCTTTTTAAATATATTAGGGGAATATATAGTATATGCCTTAAAAATACATATAATTATATTATAATTCAGCTAAAGCACCATTTTA